CACACGTGAAGCCCTGGGTACAATCCCCAGCACCACATATACAAAGTGAAAACAAATCCTATTGAAGGTACCAGGCCTGGAAATCAGCTAGGAGGATTCTGCCACAGTCAAAGTTAAACCACTGAGGTGGCAATGAGGTTGGATAAGTAAGCTGTAAAATACTCATTTTCTCGCTGCCTCCCACTTATACATAGAAAGACCATCTCAGAAGAGTTAGTGAGTTATTATGTCAAAAACTGATCTATTAAAGTAATTGGCCTTTCTGAGCTGATTTTTCCATCTTTTGTTATTATCTTTATTAAAAAAAAATTGTACTAGATCCCAATGATGAATGTAACTGTATTTTATACCCAAAAATGTACCAATAAAGTTAATGGGGAAAAAAAATTGTACTTGGAGGGAAAAAAAAAGAGTTAGGCAATTCATACAAGCTCATAGAGCTAACAAAAGGCAGCACCAGGCCTAAATCTAGCCTTCTAACTTCAGTTCGAAGCTCTGTCCACAATACCAGCAGATCTCAACATGTATTCATGTGCCTTTCACTCAAGAAAGCAGATCTAAATATGAGTTAGAGAGGGAGATTGTTGTATAAGAGTCTGTGATCTTCTTCTGGTTCATTAAAAACAAAAAAGGTATTAACAAATATATTAACTTAACTCTTATTAGCAACAAATCATTCCTAACCACAGGTGGGAGCTGAGCCTCACACACAAGCTCTGAGCCGCGGATCCTTACTCTTGAGAGTGGAGGATTTTTTCAGCTATATCTTTGAGTGTGATTCCGTTCCATTCTCCCAAAGAGAGCCAGAATGGAAGGCTCAGCTGCTCATTTCAGAAGTGGCTAAGGGGTCCTCAGGCCTTAGGCCTGTAATTTCGTTTACAAGGGTCTGTGTGTGAGTTAAAAGAAGAGCAGAAGACTGTAGTGAGCTACATCTGCCACTGCTCTGTAAGGTCACAGATTTGCAGAAGTGATTTTTATTTAAAAGTTGAAGTTCTGTTGAATAAATTCTATAATTTCTACTCTTTTTCTATGAAGTTCCCTTCCTTTCCACTTTTATTGTTTTTCTTTTTCCTTTTCTGTCCCTCTTCCCTTGCTCCTTCTTTCTCTTTATTCTTTCTCCATTCCCCCTTCCCTCCTATCTTCCTCTTCTCTGTTTCTCTCTCAACAGTTCCTTGGATTCTACAGTAAGACAGTTTTGTTGTCACATCCAAGCTAAGGCACACATATAGAGTGTGGCAGTATTTCATGGCAGATGAAAATGTAGAATTTAGGGCTGTAAATGTAGGACAATAATCACTGAAACCTGCCCCCATCCCCACCACTACTGTCATAAACTCCTACTGAATTATTCTTAGATGCTGTTTCCTTTTCTTACAGAGAAGGCCAGGATAGTTCTTGGGAGAAGTTCATTGGGTGCTAACAAGGACTGGAGAGGAAAACACCAGTCAGGCCTGCATACATCCTGGGTTTTGTAAGCAGGCTCCTCTCGGGAAAACCCAAGGACAGACACACCAAGGAGAGACAGAGCAGACTGAGCACTGCGGTCAGGGCTCTGAGAGCCAGGCGTGCTAAGGCACAGTAGGACAGGAATGAGTTGGGGAGAGTACATCAGGCTAAGGAGGTGCTCTGGGGAGTTGCTGAAAGGATTCCCAGCCCCAGATGCTTTCTCAAACCTTCCTCTTTTTTTACCCATATGGGGGTGGCAGTGAGCCTTCAGATTTGTGGGACACAGGAGGAATGTTTAACCTGATTCATGCCCAGAATGGAGAAAAGAGGGATGAATCTGGAAGAATCCTCAGAAAGGCTTCTGGCAACCTCTCAACAGAAAACTCTGACCACCCAGTTGTCTGCATTGCCCAAATGACATCCCTCTTCCAAGGCTGATCAAAGTTTTGGGCTCAAAGAACAAGCCAAACTATTTCAATCACAGGAAAAAGCATGCCCTTTAAAAAGCTCACGGCAAGGAATTCAGCTCACTGAAGACTAAAGCCATTTTCTTTCTTTTTCCCAAAACATTTAAGAAATTTTATTGAAAATGATAAAATACGGAAACATCAGATTTTTCATTTTAAAGTAAAAATGACAGCATCTCCCAGAACTTTCCTAATACTACACCAATTCTTGTCACTACTACAAAAAAGTCCCAAATCCAAAACAATAAATGGACCTGCTGGTAAACATTTTTCTCATGGTTCTAAGCCCTATCGAAATTACTTTTCTAAATTTTACATTTGCACCTTTTCAAGAATGGGTAACATTTTTAAAAAATGATTAATATTTGTGAGAACTGGACTTATTTTCTTCATATTAATTAGAAACAAAAAATCACACACACCCTACTCAAAGTTAGTGAAAGTACACATTTGTTCAGTAAAGTTCACCTGCTTTAGATAATTTTTTTCTTTACACATTAGTATATTAAGCCAATGTTTGATCAATTAAAGCCATTTTCTTTTAGAGAAAATAGCATCAGGATGAGCTCAGAGTAGTTCATGAGCCCTGAGGGGATTTGGTGTGAAACCGAGAAGCTACAGGCTGTGGTACGAAACAGAGGCTTACACTGCCTGCTCACTCCCCGTTCACTTAATTATGTACTGTGAAAAAGCTCACTCACCCTTCCTAGAAGATGGCTTTTTATAGATTTGCCTTCTCAGGACCATCACTGTGACCATGAAAATTATGACACTGATGCAGGTAGGAATAAAAGTTCAAATCCCATGTGACCTTGGTGAAGCTGAGAGCTGGAGTCTCCTTACAGGGCACCACACATACAGACCGCTAGGATGGCCCTGTGAGTGGCTGAAACCCACTCAGCCACTGTGTTGAGCCTTTACTCCATGCCAGGCACTAGTGAGTGCTCTGCGTGTAGCAGCTCATTTATTCTTCCCAACAACTCTGGAAAGTAGGTTCTACCACAATCCCCATTTTACTGGTGAAGTAGCAAGGCACAGACAGCTGTGAAACTTTCCCAAAGTGAGACGCCGAGTGCTTTCCCTGAGATATCGTACAGGCTGTTTCCAGATTCACTGCTTTTTGCTACTCTGATATATCTACCCTTATCAGTAAGTCAGGCAACTACCAATCTTTCTCTCTTTTTCTTTCTCTTTTCTGTCCCTCTCTTTTCTCATCATTTCCCTTTCTGTCTCTTTCCAGAGGACAGTCCTTTAGCTTCTAAATCTCTCCCCTTTCCCCACTGACAAGCACTCAAGTGCTTAGAATCTATACCATTAGATATTCAACTTCAAGGATTAACAAGGTCTTTTTGAAAAAGGTAGACCATCCCAGGTAGTGGTAATATACTAAATCTGATCATTCACAACAGTGTAAATTAGTACAACTGGCTCTTTGTCTTGTCTTGGCTGTTCAAGTTCCTGGCACTGAGGAAAGCATCAAGTTAATAAGAGATGGATGGGAAGAACAAATATGGAGGCTGGTGAAAGCCTTAAAAAAGAGAAATCTTGGCATCTACAGGTGAAAACAAAGGCCCCAGATTGAGAGAGAGTAGGGCTGCAGGGTGTCCCCAAAGGGAGATGGAAAGGTAACCTAGTGAGGTTGTATATATTTCAAAATCCCGAACTTCTCATGGAGTAACTCATACAAGAATGACAGGTTGGTCCAGGAAAAACTGGACACAGCTATTCAGGAAAAAGGGCTCCAACCTGCCAGCTATCTTCTTCCTTCCCTCTCCCATTACAGGGTGATCTAAGAACCATGATTGTTTTAGCTGAACCCCTCCTTTTAGAGTTGAGGAAGCCTCAGAGATGCTACATAATCCATCAACAGTCACTACTTCCAATAAGTGACAGAGTTAGGATTGTAAATGCAGATCTGTCTGAGCCAGAGTAGGGTCCCACAGAGACTGTCTCCACCCAAAAAAGTACAGAGAACATTAAGGAAGAAAAGGATAAGGAGCCCATTCAGATAAGCAAGACTGGATAATTTGTATTGGTTATAATCAGCTTTAGGAAGTTTCTATTAAGCACTTGCTGCATGTGGAACTGTGACTCAAGGAGACTGGGCCCTTCCTATCCCTCCAAGGGAGGGGTTTCTGCCTCATTGTCTTCAGGAAAATCCTGGTCCTATGCAGGGTTTCTCATAGTCCCTTCCACACACAGATGCTCCACTCATCCCTAAAAACTTTCCGGATTGAGCATCCAACATCCAACATCAATCTGCTTAGACTATAAGAATTGGAAGACCTTATCTAAGTCACCTTTGAGTTCCTTCTAGAGCCCAGCACCAGTTACCTGAAAGGCGTCAATCAAGACTGTGGGGCTGAATTGACTGTTTAGCCCACATGACTGGTCCTCCTACTCATTGGTTACCTTGTAGCAGATTGCTGGTTTTCCCTTTAATCCATTCTCTCTTTCTTTCTTAGTATTATGGTGGTAACTGAACAGCACATCCACCCCACACCCCGCAGTTATGTGTAGCTAGTCACGTCAACTATGTTCACGCAGAAAGACTGGGTCTTCTGGATCTTGGCCTACCATTCTTTTTCTTTCTGAGGGCAGAAATATGAATTTGACAATGACTCAGCTTGGATAGTTCAACAGGGACAACATTCTGGAGAATGGCAAAGCAGCAAAATAGAAATAATCTGGATCACTGAATGACTTTACGGAGGAGAGTTCCTTAGCTGCTCTGAACCACCTTCAATCTCTGAATATTACATGATAAGAAATATATTTTCTTCTTGTTTGTATTTTGGGGTCTCTTCATAATGGCTGTTTAGCCTATTTCGTAACACATATTCTTCTAAATTGTTTTATAATTGCTTGCTCTTTAACAAAGATATGATGGTACAATGGGAAAAATGTTTGTCTTATCTTTAGCACAGTGCCTGCACTCATAAGGGCCCCATGCATTTTGTTCAAGGTGCCATAATTTTTCTTTACATTCTTCCTGAGTGCTAAGCCCTTTAAAAGCATATTCAGTTTCATCACAATGACCTCTTGAGGTAGCCACCATTATTTGTCCTCATTCTACACCTGAGAGATTGAGTTCTAGGATGGCTAACCAGTGTGTTTGAGTTCTTAAAGAAGTAGGTAGCAGAGAGAACACTTGAAATTTATGTTTGTCTGACTTCAGAGCCCATGTTTATGACCATTGCCTGGAGCCACCTTCATGTGTCATAGGAGGGCTGCACTTCTCTGCCACTTCCACAAGAGTATTTTTGTAATTACTTCCAGTGCTCTAGTCCACTTATATTTCTTAAAGAAATAGCAACTGGCTAGGTACAAGAATCCTTATTTCTCAAGAAAAATGATTTAATTGCTGCCTGACTTCTGACTGAAACACTGAAAGTGTTCTGTCATCCATTCTAGAATCACCTCCCACATTCTAAACTCTCATTTCTGTTTGTTTTATTCATTGACTTCTAGAGAAGCATGTGGCAGTTCACAGCAGTCAGGAGAGAATAGCTCCATTTATGAGAATGAGTAGAGAGGGAATAGTCATAATTTGAAAATGACTTTTAGAAATAGAAGCAAGGAACCTGTGGGAGGATGTATAACTTTGGTTATTTTGTTGGGTGGGTTTTTTTCCCCCACAAAACAGTATATCATTTGGCTGCTCTGATCTGACCACGCAGTCTGGCAGCTGAGGTCATGGGACTAGGATTATTCAAGACTAAGTTTCCAACCCATCAATCCAACATTTATTGAGGACTTCTTGTGGACAAAGGGCTCTGTTTGCCTTTGTCTGGATATTCAGAAGACCCATGTGAACAATGCAAAATAAAGTAGCAGTAAAAGAGAACGGACAAATACAGTCACAAGGTAAATAAGCAAATGCTACAGGTAATAATTGTAAGAGACAAGATGAAAAGAAGACTCCCTTATACCTGGACTTGTCTGAGCTCCTTGGAAAGAGGGTGGGCTTGGGCCGGTAGAAAAGGAAAACAATGATATTGTATATGGAAGAAATGGAGAGCACAAAGAATGCATGGCAGTGGGAAAGGTTCAGAAAGCACATGGTGAGGAAGGAGCCCAGAGAAAACATCTATGCCATGGAAAAGTAAGATGAATATAAAGCTGGGAAGGAGGGCTAAACCAGCTTGAGCATCTTTAGCTGCACAAAGATTTCTCCATCTCCCTACTGGTCAGTTTATGAGTGATACCTTAGGACAGTGGTGGTAACCTCTGGGCCATTTGCTGCAGTGGGCCTGTAGAGCCCTCTCTGTCAGCACACAAGCCAAGCTGCCCCAGCAGCTGAGCATTGCATAACAGTTGTTTTTTTCTAAACTAAAACCTCAGTATTCAGGTTTAATTGCAGTGTTTGCACTTTGGGATGACTTAGTGGGTTTTGGGTTGCAGTTTGTGCACTTGGTCTCTAAAAGTTTTGCTATCACTGCCTTAGGAGATCCTGAGGTTTGTTTTATTTTTGTAGTGCTGGGGATTGAACCCAGGGCTTTTGCGCTGAACTACATACTCAGCCAACCCCCACCCCCTTTTTTTTGAGACAGCATCTCTCTAAATCACTAAGTTGCCCAGGCAGGACTTGAGCTTGCAGTCTTCCTGCCTCAGATTCTCTCAGGTGTGCACAACTGTGCCTGGCTAAGGAGACCCTGAGTTCTGACCCAGACCCCACAGACCCTCCCTGTAATTACTATTTGGTCAGCCATTCTGGTTCTCATGGAGAAAGTAGCCATTTCCCTCCATTCTTAACTTCTCACAGCACAAAGGCTTCCAGAGGAATAGTCATTCTGCCCCTGCACTGTTCTACCCTGAAGAAAAATACAGACATAGTCAGTGGTCCAAGGGCTGGACTAAGGTTGTTTCCAAGTTCCTCTTAGGCAGAGTTCTATTTCTCTGTAGAAATCCTTATATAAGCCTCCTTCTAGAAAAATCACATTTCATCCAAAGCACTGGCTTACACTTAACCAGGCAGGAAATTCCACATAATCAAGGACAGTTGAGAAAACAATTCCAGGAAAAAATAAAGTTCCCTGGGCCTGGTAATATTTAAACCTCTAATACTTTAGTCTGAATTAATTACATTTCATTGTTTTATGAGGTAGCAAGTCTTAACTGTGATTTTTAGAAAAAGAGAGATAGATAATGTTGAAGTACCAACTTGCCTAATATATTATTTTCCCAGTTGGTTCTGAAATTGGTGTATGTTTAGTGTCTTTATTGCTATCAAGGTCCTTGGTATGATTCCTCTCTTCCTTGCATCTTATAATAATTTAGTTAGAAAGAAGTTGGGCATTTAGGATTGTTGTGTATCCTTGCATAACTATTTCATCATTATGCAATGTTTTTTTTATGTTGAGTAGTATTTATTTTTCTGATACTGCTAATCAACTAGATAGCTAACTTTTGGTTAAATACATTTCTCCAGAAGCAACCTTTACCATCATTAAAGGATTAAACTTTGATTGGGAAGATTACCCTTATGCCAGTGTTTTTGTAGCTTCAGTTCATTGGTACTGTCTGGTTTAGTTAATATATAGTAAGCACAGTAGTTAGGAATAAGTTCCTCAAAATCTGAAAGATTTGACTGTGTGTTAGCCAAGGACTAATTACCTGATCTCTCAAATCCTCACTTTTTTCATTAATAAAATGGGTATAATACTATTTGTCTTTAAGGGTGTTATGATGATTAAATAGTTACCTAGAGCATAGTGAATACTCAATCAGTGCTAGCAATTATTAACTCTTCCATATTAGAGGCAACTCTTTAGGTATTTGAAGATATCTGGGAAAACTCCATATGTTCTTTTCAATTTTAAGTAAAACACACCTAACTTCTTATCTCATAGGATATTGTTTTCAGACCCATTTCCAGATATCAATCTTTGGATACATTTTATTTTTCATTTTTCAAAAAAAATGACAGTGTAGGGCCAGAGATTTAGCTCAGTGGTTCCACTGCCTGCCTCATAAGCACAAAGTCCCAAGTTCGATCCCTGGTACAAAAAAAAACAACAAGTGACAGTGTAACATGGTTTATATTCCAGTTATTATCTAAGCAGCACAAAGTATAGTATAACTATTACTTCCTATGAGTTGAGCACGTTTTGGGCTCAACACAGGATAGTAATGCAAACTAAGGTCAAGATGAATTTTGCCAAATGTATGATCTGATGCCTAGATGGTTGGCTATTATCCCCAGTTGGAAATATAGACTCCTTATCAACTAGAGGTTAGCTCTAAATTGACTGAGCACCTTAGTCCCTGTTTGTTGGCCCTGATTCAACAACTGCCAACTGTTTAATCTGTTATAAATCCAGACAATTGAGCCAGGTATGGTTGCTCATGTCTCTAATCCCAGCACTCTGGGAAGCTGAGGTATCACGACCACAAGTTTGAGCACTGCCAGGGCAATTTAGCAACTCAGAGAGACCCACCCCTCAAAAATAATTCTAGTGCTATGTGGCTCTGGGATCTGCCTTTAGATTCACCCCTCACTTTTTCTTTTCTGCTCTGTATTGCAGGAAGGGAGGCTCTTGACGTCAATAGGAAGTAAGATGAGAAGTCTAGAGACTGGGCGGGAGAGGTAAATAAAGGACAATTCTCTCCCATGTCTATATCCTGGTGGCCTCTTCAGGACCAGAAGCATCTCTTCCCTGGCTTCAGCTACCACTGGGCAGTCCCACTTTGTTCCAGTGTTCCTTGGGTGACTATCCCCTGGGCTTCAAGTACTCTGCCTATCCTTTTTACCTCTTGTCTAGTGGTGCCTATTGCAAATTGCTGAATTATTTCCCTGTTCCCTGAGTTGCTTCTCAGTGTGATAACACTGAATTACTATTTTCTGCTTTAGATTTCCACAGGTTTAAATAGTTTCTGTTTTCCCTCGTTGATTGTTGGTATCTGAGATGTTACTTTACCAGTGACACTATCTTACCATCATCATGATGTACATAAAGTGAGAAATTGTAGCTTTACATGTTTTGGTCTTAGAAAATTCAGGCATGTTTCTAGTAACCACTGAAATAAATCTTTTAAGATTGCTTTCCATTTATCTGTTAAACAAGTCTGGAGAGAAAGATCAGGTTAGGAGTTTCTAATTCTCAGGAGCTTTTCCTTCTTCAAATTCAGGACCTTGTTCTCTTGATTCCAAATTTTTTCTATTCTCTGGTTTACCTAAGGGGAAAAGAACACTGAAAGCAGAGATGGAGCTCCATCAGTAAGTTATTTTAGCAAATGCTTTCCTGGGACCTAGAGGCTTAAACATACAGTCAGCTTTTCACTCCTGTCTTGCTTCTCTTCCACTATTTGTGTTTTTTGTCTTCCTCTTCTATGGTGAAGGTCATTTTAATGGAAGTCATGCCGCCTCCTTCCTCCACTTGTTGAAGTTGCATTATTGCCTCTGTTGGCCTTTTTTTTTTTTTTTTTTTTGAAGTACTTCTATAACCTTTAGCTTATTCCTGGTAATACTTCTTCCCTCTACCCATCTCAACCCAAGCCTTCAGGCTGCCTTCGCTCTTGTGTTCTGAGTGCTTGTCCTATGCCTTACTGGGATCCTCTGCACAGGCCAGCTGCACTGTGACTTCCCTAGCCTCTCTGAGCTTCCATAATCTGCTTTAGTCATGTTCCCTGCCATCCTCGGATGATTTGCTCTCAGTCAGATAGTTGCAACCTGGCTTTTCAAAAGCCATAGCCCTTTATTTCTGTCTCTTCCATATTCTCTAGCCATTCTATCTTGTGTTTTTTCTATCCTTCTGAAATAAATTCTCCTTTCACAACATTTAATATGAATTGCTACATGGATATCAAAGAAACTACTATAAACCTATTTTCCAGGTTTGTGCAACAGATTTTAAGGTAAAAGCATTCTGTTCTGCTAATACTGCTTCATTTATGGGAACCCTCAATGGGACTCCAGATCTACCCTGCCTCCCTTAGGGGCACCTACGAAACTCTTAGATGCTGGTCTTCAACTTTTTTTCTTACATTTCTCCTAAAGGAATTATGATGCAGTATACTCTCTCTTATATATTAATGTGATTGTTAGAATTTTTCATATGTTTTTATATTGGAAAATACATAATGTTTACGGTTTTATATTTATATTTTTTAGTAAAAATTATTTCACTCTTAAATATGCATCCAATGGCACCTAAATATCAAAGAAACTATCTTTTTTTTTGCTTTTAAAAAGTTGTGCTGATTTATCCCCCCCCCATTAACTTTATTGGTACATTTTAGGTATACAATACAGTTACATTCATCATTGGGATCTTGTACCATTACATGAGTCTCTTGGTTCTTATTTTTTTTCCCCTTCCCTTCCCCTCCCTTCACCCCCTCCACCCTTCCCTATTTGCAAAGACCTTGTTTCCATTTTTTTCCTCTTCTCATATTTTTTCCTTTCCCTTTTTTCCCTTCCCCTACCCCTCCCAATTCCCTGCTCTTTAGACCTTTTCTTCCTGTTACACAATATCAGTTATACATTTTTTAAATTACAATATTAAGATCTAGGAGACATTACCACAGATTTCACAGAATTTAAAAGGATTTAGAAAGCATATTACAAAAATCTTTTTTGAAATAAATTTGACAACTTCTAAGAAGTAACTTAGAAGACAAATTAATGAAACTAACTCTGGAGGAAATATAAAATTTGAATAGCACCTATTAAAGAAAGTATATTCCTACCTTGAAAACTTACCTATATGACAACAGCAGGTTCATAAACATTTTAACTGATAAATTATATCAAACAATTAAAGCAGAAAAAAGAAGGAACACTTCTCCCCTCATTTTAGGAAATCAACATTGTGCTAATCCTAAAACTGGATAACGATAATAGAAGAAAAAAGTATGAACATAGATAGAAATTTGTTTAACAAAACAAACTATTAGAAGTCAGATCTGGCAGGATGTAGAAAGTGGTTTTGTTAAAGGGATGGCAGTGTTGGTTCAGCATTGGAAGATCCACCCCCAAAAGTCATCATTTTAACAGAAGGAGAAAGCCATATGATCCTGTCACTAGTTGGAGAAAGAGTATTGGACTAAATTCTACAGCTGTTCATGGTAAAAGCTATCAGGAGACTAGAAGTAGAACAGAACCTTCTCAACAGATCAAAGACATGTACTCCATACTTCCAACAAAAACTCCTTCTGTGAGTGGAGAAGATACAATGCTTTCTCCCTAAGGTGGGGAACAAGGGCATATATGCCTACTCTTTATCTGTCCATTAGACTTTGAAACATAGGTCTAAACCAAAATATTCTGGCAATAAAATGACACAACTAGGATAGGATTGGCACGGCAGAAGCAAAATCTTTATATGTAGATGAAATGATCATCTACAGAGAAAATACTAAGAAATCTCTAGGAGCCCCTAGAACTTGTACTTGAATTTAGCAGGATTAGAAAACACAAGGTATATATAAAAATTCAGGTCTGTGTATACTTGCTATAAATGAATAACTGGATATTGAAATTTAAAAGTTATGTAGGAGTACAAAGGACCCAGAAAAGCCAAAAACAAAAACAAAAACAGTGTTGGAAGACGTTTAGCACCCAATTTTAAGACTTCTTCTAAAGCTACAGTAATCAAGGCATTGTTGGTGTAAGGAAAGACATATAGATCATTTGAATAAAACAGAGAATCTAGAAATAGAACCACACATATATGGTCCACTGAAAGAAACTATCTTTTATATTCTCCATCATTCACTAAAAAATACATACAAAAATTCTTCTCTAATGGTCAAAGATTTACATGGTATCTTTATTTCTTGAGCCTCACTTTCCATATAGAAGTTTATCTTAATGCTGCATATATTTATTTTACAGCTCTTTGATTATTCTTATATGCCTTGGAACAAAATATGTATAGCTAATGAAATTAATTTTCTTTTTTTTGGTACTGGGGATCAAACTCAGGACCTTGTGCTTGCAAGGCAGGTGACAGAACCACTGAGCTAAATCCCGGCCCTGAAATTAATTTTCTAAGGACTGAAACTTTATATTCAGTTTTCTTCTACACTGCAATCTAATTTCTATTAATATCAGCACATACATGATTAAAATGTAAAATATTATGAACATTGATAATTATTAAACAAAAAGATAAAAATTTACCCAAAATATAGCTCTGTCTTTTTAATTGCTCATGAATCTGATAATGTATATGGTTTACAGTTCAAATGATTCTACGTGGGAGGAGATTAAAAATGGTAAAGTAAGAACAAGCTGCAAAATAGACCCTCTTTGAAATGTGAATCAAAACATTTTGAAAACAACCTAGCAAAGAAAAAAGAAGTAGAACTCTGGGAATCAAGAAAAAGCTGGTAGGAAAACTAGAAACTAGAGAGAAACTGAAAAGGATGCAAAGAAAAGAACAAAGGAGACTGGAACACTAACCCTGGCTCCCAGGGAGGAGGTCCTATCTCCACCAACACAAGAGCTGGGGAATCAAGACTTGAGAAGGTTGGACACTGAGAAGACACTCAGATATTCTGCTGATTAAGTTAAAAATGGATACAAACATCAAGACACAACCAAACTCAAGGACATGTCACAGGGAGACAAACCTAACTAAAGAGATCTCCACAGTAGCAATAGTTTCTCTACCCTAACTGACCTTCAACTCAGAGCAAAAAAATGATAGAAACATGAGAAAATCAGGCAAGAAGATGCCTTCCAAAGACCCCTAGCTCCCAAAAATCTGATCTCGTGGACACTAAAGTAGAGGAAACTATGGGCAAAGAACTCAAAACCAAATGGTCAAAATGTTTAAAGAGATTAAAGAAGAAAAATATAAGCAAACACATAAGATGTTTAATGAGCTGAGAGAGAATTTAATTAAAAAGATAATGGATTTTACTAATAAAATGTTCAATGAGTACAAAGGAAAAACAAACAATGAAATAATTGAGCTAAACAAGATGATACAAGACATGAATGACCACTTTGGAAAATAACTAGAAAGTATGAAAAGAAAGCAAGCAGAAAAAGATGGTATTAAGATATCAAATGGAAAACATGGGCCTCAAACTTGACCAGTGTGAGGCAGAGTGTCAGAAATAGAAGACAACATGGATGTAATAATTCATAAATTCAATGATACCCTAAAAACAAAAAGGCACCAAGCTGGATTCAACTGCTGCTAGATGACAAAAACAAACAAACAAACAAAACAAAACCTCTCAGAATTACGGAAATAAGGAAAACTTAGAAGACAACTAAAAAGGTATTAAAAATTTTATTCACTTAAATTATAGTAGAAAATTTTCCAGATCTTTGGAAAGAATTCAATATTCAAGTACAAGAGGCATATATAATTTCAGATAGGCATTAACAGAAAAGAACTCCTCCATGGTACACCATAATCAAAATTCCAGAAATTCAGCAAAAGTCAAACCCTCCCCCCGCAAAAAACCCAGCAAATAACCTATAAAGTCAAGTTCATCAGAATAACTGTGGATTTCTCAGCACACACATTAAAGGGCAGGAGAGCCTGGAGTGAAGTTTTTTAAGTCCTACATGAAAACAATTGTCAACTCAAACTTTTACTTCCTGCAAAAATTAGCCTTCAAAATTGACAGATAAGAAAAGTCTTTCCACAACAAAGAAGTCCTAAAGAAGTTCATAACCACTAAACCAGCATTCCAGAAAATACTTAAGAGAATTCTAGACAGAGATTGGGAGGCCACCAGCACCACAAAGTGCAAAGGAAAACATATATCTGAGAGAGTAATTAAAAGGAAAAAAAAAAGGAAACAGCATAGGAAAAATAATGCAATGACAGGATTCAATAAATACCTTATAATAATAATTCTCAATGTCAGTGGTCTCAACTCACCAATCAAAAGACACAGACTGGTAGATTGGATCAAAAAACAAAACGCAACCATACATTTCTTACAAAAGATACAAACAAACAGACCCATCTGATCCAAAAGGAAGTATTGTACAGAAACTGAATGTGAAAACATGGAAAATGATACTCCATTAAACTAGAGACCTAAAATAAGCAGGAGTCACAG